ACGCGGACGTCGACTGAGCGCTGCCGGGCGCTGTCAGCGTGCATTGGAACCGAGTCTGTCACGCCTACAAGGCGCGAACACCATCGAAACTTAGCCTCTGCAGACCCAGGCAGGGCGTTGTTTGCTATGTGCGCAACAAACTGCTACGACTAGTACCTTACCGACCGTCCGGCAACTTCCCCAGTGACATGCAACCCAAACCAACATAACATGATCTAAAATACTCAAAAATGCATAGAAACCCCAGTAGACCTTGGTTAGATTTTAAAATGGTTCGACAGGGCCGATATGGCTCGTACAAAACCAAAATCACCGAACAAACATAAAACTCTTCAAAACTTACTCAAGGCCGAATACATGGCTATTAAAATCATGCCTTTTGAAGCTTAAATGCTGGCTTTTACTCGGACTCAACTCAAATTGACTCGGATGTTAAAAATGAACTAAATTCACACGCAAATGGATCGAGTACATGAAATTCAAACAAGCTATAACTTCACCAACATCAGAGACATGATTTATCATGATTTTTAACATATCAAACTCGGTCTAAACATGATTGCTACTAAAAATCCAAGTTTAAGCCTTAATTATTTAAAAATTCGGAATTAATACTAAAGCATGAGCATGGATTGATTTCTTTACATGATAATTCTTATAATATCATGAAATTACTAGAAAAATCTGTAAACACTAATTTACATTCACCGAACTCGAAAAACGGCACTAGAGCTTCTTCTAGGGTCTTCTCGGTGTCACTTGAGCTTTGGCTTAACTTTGATCACTTAGGACTGCAACTAATGGATTCTTCAATCACCTATCACTCCTACAACACTCTATTGATAGCTTGGTATAGGAGAACTTAGAAGAAATATGTTGTGGCTCGAGTAGGGCTCTTCTCGGCAATCACCCGTGCATACAAGTTCCTCTCGGTTTCTCTCTTATTTCTAAGTGTGGCTGAATATTTGGAACTTAACTAAAGTGAATTGAAGAAAAATGATCTAAGGTCTGATGGCTATGCATATATAGGCAAAGTTAAGAGGTGATAGGATTTCTCTTTTCATTTAATAAGGACATGTGTCCTTAATGTACCCTTAGGTGGCAAAATGAGGTGCTTAATCACCCCCACCCCATTAAGTGTAAACCTATTAAACCATCAGCCATTTTAATTAATTGACCACATATGACCGAATATATCTCAATGATCCTTGATTCGATTGCTAGATTCGGACGCGGCATTTTAATCTACAGGCGCGAGATAAAAGAAAAAAAAAAATCCTTGGACCGAGCTTATATAATCTTAGGGCTAATAAAAGACTTAATATTAAACTAAGAATGTGATCAATTCTAAAGTCCAAATTAATAGATTGATCTTGACCTAAAATAATAAAAAAAAATCTTTGAAAACTTGGCTTAAAGGATTTTCTAATACTCGGCATTATTCGAACCGAACTCGTTCGGTTTCAATCGCGATTCGACTTTGACGATTCTCGAAATATTCTTGACTTCGATTATCTCGTCGACTTAAAATCATTAATCCCGACCACTAATGTCCGTTTATAAAAGTAAACGGTTTCGGAATTAATTATCGGAATTGAATCGGTTACTGACTAAAATTAAACCGAGTATATTATCGACTTAAAGTCGAACTTAAACTGAATAGCTTAATAATTGGGCTCAAAAACTAAAAACCAAGGTTGTCAAAACCGAACCGATTAAGCTACCGGTTCGACCATATTAAGCCAAAGCCCGGAGAAAGAAAGACGCAAAAGTGTAGAAAGATCGATCCCGTATGGATCCATCTTGGCTGAATAGCTTAATAATTGGGCTCAAAAACTAAAAACCAAGGTTGTCAAAACCGAACCGGACATTGAACCGATTAAGCTACCGATTCAATGGTTCAGTGGTCGGACCAGTGGTCGAACCGGTTTAATTAATATATAATTATTTTATTTATTTTATATGTATAATGTATAGTTGTATATATTTTTATCATTAATTTTATAGTATATAATGATATTTTTCTAAATAAGAGTTCAATAATTAATAACCTATTTGTATTTTATCATAAAAAAATACTAATTTCAACACAGCTTACCAACTACAGGTTAGTAATTTGTATTTTACATTTTTAAATCAAATTTTAATTATTATTTTTCAGTTTCATTATGTAAAGAATAAAAAAATAATAATCAATTTTGAGCTTTGATTGTGATTAAAATTTAAAATTGCTACACATGTATGTTGGAATGGTGCATAATAATCATACAAAGACAATAATAATAATAAAAAAAAAATAGAATGGTGCATAAGTCATACAAAGATGAAAGTAGAAAAATAATGGAAGGGAGGACTTCAAGTTGAAGATTTGAATAACCAACCTAATACATGCAAAGCACAACGCCTACCGCCAGGCCACAAGACAACTATTGTTTTTAAGCAAAGATTATTTATTTTGTATAAAACAAAGCACATGTAAGTTACTTATCCCACATTGGAAACACACCAAAAAACAATAAGCTTTATAAACAACAACAATTGCACTAACAAATGAAGTCTTGAAGAAAAATTGTTGACCCGCGTGAGCTGTCTCTGGTTTTCCAGTTTTACCGGTTTTCACCCGGTTCGACCTGTTCGTTTCCGGTTTTAGACCCAGGAGGTATAGTTTTAGACCCAGGCGGTTGTATACCTCGAACCAGACCGGTATGCCAACCGGTTCCCGATTGAACTGGTTCAACCGGCCGGTCCGATCCGGTTTTGACAACTATGCTAAAAACGAGCGATATTAATAAAAGAAAAATAGTTCAAACTCGGAACTAAAAATATTACTTTTATTAATAATAAAACGGGATATTACACGCAACCCCAAACTAAGACCGAAAACTAAACACACAAAACTAAAATCCGGAGACTGAAAGGCCCAATAATGGAGAATAACACACGCACATACCCAAACACACAATAAAACCAAACAACAACACAACAACAAATACCTAATTAACAATAGAATACTACCTCCCCTGCAACTTGCTAACACTCGAGCCAAATCCCATAACGAGCCAAACTCCACAATCTATAACAAAAGAGAGCAGCAGATCTAAACCCTATACTAAAACTCCAACTTACTCAAGCGACTAGTTAGATCTTACGAGGAGGCATGTCTCAGCTCAGATCTGAGCTCCCGCAGTCTTCAATCGAGAGTGAAACGGACGCCAGGAGTGGACCCAACAAGCCGAGCGAGGGTCCAACCGGACCAGATATGACAAGCGGAAGACCAATCGGACTCCATCAGTTCGGCCCAAGGCTGGAGCAAGCAATTGCTAGACTACTGCTGCCGAGAAGAGGAGGGGCCGCTCAAAACTTCAATTGCTTATGTTTTCTCTGCATGGGATTTGAAGAGAGAGAGGCTCTCTCAGCTTTCTAAAGAGAGACCGCTAAATGTGGGGGATTTGTGGCTGGTTAGTTATTTTGTTTTTGTGTGTGAGTAGAGCTATTAAACTAAATGAGCCGATTGTGAGCACGGCTCATTAAGTGTAGAGCTCGGTTCAACCCCAGCTTGTTTAGTCAATGAGAGGAATTCGATCATGATCGACTCAGCCTTGGTTCGTAAAGGTTCATTTAGTTAATGAGTGGGGTTCAGCTCAACCCGTTAAGACTTGTTAGATTTGATAAGTAGTGATTTTTACGCAAATTTCTTAAATTTTTGTCATATATTGGCTCATTGACTTAACAAGCAGAGTTTGGCTCGGCTTGATAAGGGCTCAAGCCTGTGCTCGGCTTTAAAGGGTTCAACTCGTTTACAACTTAGAGAGAGAGAGAGATTTGACCAACTGCTAATGCACTTTATAATTGCTATTGGTTTTGTATCATGCAACCTAAATGCTAAATTATTAATTATATTATAGCATCTAAATGAAGCTACTTTTATGCTTGGATGTCATAGTGAACGGCTATCAGAAATAAGTTTATCAAATTAATTATCAATTATATTTCCGAAACTGTTGGTCCACCAATCTAATTAATTAAATGGCGAATGTCTAAAGTCTTGTACAATAATTAATCTCAAGTCTAATGTAGGTTCTATCTTATTGCAGCCTAGCTACAAACATAATAAGCTGACCAATAAATTAGTATACACTTTCACATGTGAAGGCTCGTGTAAAACATCTTTTCTTCAATCTCTTAAATCATTTACTTCTCATTTTCTGACTATAAACTTACACGAAACTGCCTCTACTCTATTATACATGACTTCACATATGAACCATTGTAAAAATGTGTACAGTTTTAAAATTTTAATTTTAAGATGACACTACAAAAAAATTGTTATATTTCAACTATAAAAAAAATTGTTATATTCCAACAGAAAATCCTATGTTAATATATTCCAATAGAAATTTTAACGGATATTCCAATGGTATAGCTTCCGTTGGAACGAAAATATTCCGTTCGAATGTGTTTTTCATTGGAATTTTAGATAGAATTTGATGATTCCAAAGGCTATATTTCCAACGGTTTTTTTACCGTAAGAATTTCCATTGAAATTTTTATTTCCACCCTGTTGAAAAATCTACCGTTGGAATCGTCAAAATCCAACGAAATATTTTTGTTAGAATTTCCGTTGGAATCCATTGGAAAATTCCAACGAAAATAATAGCATTGAAAAATATCCATTTGAATTGACATTAAAATTCTATTTGAATATATTTTCGTTAGAATTTCATCATTTTCTTGTAGTGTGAACTATGAAATCAGTTAACAAAAAAACAAAAAAAAAAATAGTATTGTCCAAGTTTTACTAAACTAATATTACATACAAAACAGTGGAGCACGCGAGCAACGCGGGCAAATTCCAATTATAATAATACCTTAAAGAAATGCATGAAGTCTTGTCTTTTTTCTCATGAATTGCATCACTTTTTCGGTAGCCTCATCACTCCATGAAAATCCTCTATATATCTAATAATGTCTATATATATGTTTTTAATTCAATAATATAATTTTGAAATAAAATTTAGAACTAAATTTTCTCGCCCTCTATATATATTGAATGCACCCTCATTAACACACCTAACATTTCTTCCCTCCACGAAAGTTTAGCCCAAATAACATATTTTCATCTCACCCAAAATAAATTTGTTTAGTTAGAAGAAAGGTGCACCATGACCAACCACGGCACCCAAGGAGTCATAACTTGCAAAGGTAAGAAAGAAGATTAATAATAATGACGATAATAATTATATAAGAATTCTGAAAAAAAAAAAAGTTTCAACATTATCGTCATGTACTTGCATGATAATCATTTTTAAATGCTAATAATGTGATAATGTTCAAGTCAAAGATAGAAATTTCATTACATAGTCGATGAATTTTTCGCGCAACTTTTTACCCCTTTGCAGCTGCGGTGTTGAGAAAATCTGGGGAGCCATTGGAAGTTGAGGAGATTCAAGTAGACCCGCCCAAATCGTCTGAGGTTAGGATCAAGATGCTGTGTGCAAGTATGTGCCACACAGACATGCTATGTTGCAATGGCCTCCCTGTTGTAAGTAAAATCTGATTTTTCAGACTTTGCAAGAATTAGGTTAAATTGTATTTTTAGTCATGTTGGTTTAACGTCATAGCAATTTTAGTCCCAATATTCTAATATTTCGCCTTTTGATTTTGTAATTTAATATTTTTGCAGCAGTTTAGTCAGTCTGAAATTGCACCAAATTCTCCCAATTTAAAATTTTTATTGCAATTTCAGTCTTGTTATTTAAAATTTTGTTGCAATTGCAATTCTCTGAGGACTGAAATTGCATCAAAATCTAAAATCACAGGACAAAAAAGCGAAAAGTTGAAACATTGGGACTAAAATTGCTATAAAGTTAGAGGACTAAAAATGCATTCTTGCCCAAGAATTATATATCAACTTTGTTTTTATGTTTTATTTATTTTCAGCGTGATCGAGAGCGTTGGAGAAGGCGTGACGAAGCTGACGGCAGGGGACACCGTGATGCCACTCTACCTCGGCGAGTGCGGGGAATGCCTCAACTGCAAGTCGGGAAAAACAAACTTATGCCACAAATACCCTCTCGGTTTTAGCGGCCTCATGTCAGACGGCACGTCGAGAATGTCTGTAAAAGGAGAGAAAATATACCACCACTTTAGCTGCTCGACTTGGTCAGAGTACATCGTGATAGAAGCTGACTATGCGGTCAAAGTTGACCCGAGAGTCTCTCTCCCACACGCCAGCTTTCTGTGCTGTGGCTTCACAACCGGGTTTGGGTCGACTTGGAGAGAGATCACAATACACAAGGGCTCCACTGTGGCTGTCATTGGGCTTGGTGCTGTTGGGCTTGGGGCTGTCAAAGGAGCCCAAATGCAAGGGGCCTCCAAAATAATCGGGATAGACATAAACGAAATGAAGCGTGACAAGGCCAAAAAATTTGGAATTACAGAGTTTATAAATCCAAAGAGCTCTGATAAATCCGTGTCCGATTTGATCAAAGAGGCGACGGGAGGGCTTGGAGTCGACTTCTGCTTCGAGTGCACGGGCGTGCCAAATTTGCTTAATGAAGCCATTGAGGGTTCAAAAGTGGTATGCATCCGTGCAAGAAATTCTATGGAGCCATCAGATGGTTTTCTTATGGAGTCATTCATTAAGTAATGTATTGACATATGTACAAAGTGTATTTATTGGAAGACAAGTGTCAATACACCAAATTAATGAGTATGAATGGCTCCGTAAGTCATTGTCATCCGATGGCAGCATAGCAAAACTGGCATCTGTAATTACCAATAAAATAGACTTAATCTTTCTTTTCAAGCTAAAATCTAGCAATCATTTTTTAAGAGCTAACTCACTTTTTTTTTTTTCTTCATTTGTTTCCTTGACGTAAAAATTATCAGGGACTTGGGACAGTTGTATTTATTGGTGCAGGGCTTAATAAGAGTGGGGAGCTCAACTATATTCCTCTCTTGTGTGGTAGAACTGTCAAGGGTTCTATCTATGGTGGTGTCAGGACTCAAACAGATCTCCCTCTAATTGTTGAGAAATGTGTCAACAAGGTATACAACTTCTCTATTATGGTAAATCTCCTTTTTTACTATTTACCTCATGAGAAGATACAAAAGATTGGCATAGCCAATTTTTATGATTGATACTTATTTTGGATCCTAGGACAATGTATAGTGCAGTGTAGGAACTAATGACAGTTACTATATTAGATTTCAATAGATAGCATCTTTTACATGTGAATAAAGAAAACTTGTGCAATTGTGAGCAGGAAATTGATCTTGATGAGCTGATTACACATGAGGTTTCACTTGCTGAGATCAACAAAGGGTTTGATTATATGAAAGAGCCCAACAGTGTGAAGGTTGTCATCAAGTTTTAAGGGTTATGTGGTTCAGCATATATCCCTCGTGCTATTTCCTTTTTCATCTCCTCAATTCTTTTACTTGTTTTTTTTTTTTTTTTTTTTTTTTTTNTTCTCTCTAAAAGAAACCAAACTTCTTTTATGCCTCAGTTACTCAGTTTCTGTATCAACGTATCTGGAATAAAAAGGACAGATATTTAATGAGGATTTTATTACTTGATTGGCCAGCAAAAGTAAGGAGTATTGTGTGTGGTTGCGAATTAAATCACATGTATTCGAATTATGATTGCTGCTATCTATTGTTTTTCTAGTTCAAACTTGCAATGTCATGCATTTTTCCACTTTAAAAGATTCAAATTTTTGGCCTAGAAAAATCGAAGTGTTGGAAATAGATGTTTACAGGTTTTACCAAGTCATCATTCAAGCTCAGTAAAATTGATCAACGACGACTATTGACATGTGAAGAATAGAAAAATACCTCGAAGTTGAACATGTGTCAACAAGAATAGTGAAATTTTATAAGCAAACATATAATAGGTAACACTGCAAAATGTAAATGTATAAAAGTAAAGGACACAACTAGTGTTATTGTGTTAACTCTCTTCGTCATCTTGTTATTATTAGTTCTCCAAACAATTTTTCAACATGAGACGGGGGAATTTCAAGGTATGATTCACAATAAATCGGTTGCCTATAACTGAAAGTATGTACCTTTTTTTCTGCATTTTTCAGANCGAAAAAAAAAAAAAAAATCAAATTTTCCAGCATTTCAGTAGTCCAAAATTAATAAGCGAGTTCTTATTTGTTATTTTCTTCATGGATTACAATAGTCATTTGTCAATTCCTAACTTTGAGTTTGTATCTACTGTTAACTAATAACTATATCTCCAATGTGTGCATTCTTATGTTCAAATTTTCTTTATTTTTTCTAATTCTAATTTATCTTTATTTTATTTTTGTTATATAAATAAATGATGTGATGAACCATTTAAAATTCAATGAGCTCTATATTAGAAATTCCAGTCGCTATGGCACATGTGCTTTTTTGACAACCTTAAGATCTTCCTTGTGAATTACAACCTTTTTGTGAACAAAAGGACATAATTCGAATTGGGTATACATAACGAACTTTTCTAGGAACCATAGGAATATATCAAATAAAAATTGCAATTCTTTTTCTTTTTCATTTTGGAAAAATTGAAGAATTGTGAAAGTAGCGATGTTAAATAAGCTTGGCCTATTATGCTTTTAGCTAAACAATAAGCTAAAAGAAGCTCAGATTTTATACGGACTAGTAATATATGAACCCAACACTAACGTTAGCAAGCTTTGTGATAACTGTAATGGACCATTTATAAAAATATTACGAAGTTCTAAAGTAAAATGAAAATTTTGAATTTAAACATACATAATATTTAGGTTCATAAGTTTCATCAATAAAATAATAAAACTAAAAATTTTATAAAATAATATAGATGTATATTAAATGTTACTCATTATATACCAAAAAGAAAAGTAATTTTATTACATTTTTTTTTATGTATAAGAAAATTTAACGTGACAACAAATATTATAATGAAATAAGTAGTTGACTATTATATGGTGAATAAAAATAAATAAAACTAATTTTCTTCCTATAACAAGAATAAATATGTACTAAACTTTTATTTATATTAATATAAACAGGTTGGTTAGCCTAATCTAAGGCTAGGCCTATCGATTTTGAATTAACGTTCCTAGCAGAAAATACTATGATCTAAAATTGTCTCATTAACATCTCTAGACGCTATCATAATGGCGCATTAAAGATCATGGCTATATTTTTCTTCCGACTTGCAACATAATTAAAACATTCTAACAGTATATATTCTTGCATCCCTGACAGAGAACCAAAGAGATTAAAATTTCAAATTAAACAATTATGACTCGTAGTCTAGGACTGTTGACTTGAAATCCCGAAGGAATATTGAAGTTCTTTTAAAAAAAATACGCTTAAGAAATCACAATATTACCCCATCTCACATATAGCAACATAACAAACCCATAAAATAATTAATTGAATAAAATGGGCATATATATATTCCTGCATCCCTGACAGAGAACTTTTTTTTTTTTTAGTTTTTTCCTTTTAAATACATTTTTGTGGGTAGATATTATGGTAAATGAAAATTCACAAAACAGGTTAAATGACAATGAAAACACCTTCTACCTGCAGGCTTTCAGCAGATACAAAGAGGGGCTTGAGATATTAATGTTGTTCGAAGTATTTCCACTTTCCTTTACAGGCGTCTCACATTCGCTAAAATCAAGTGTGCGCCTTTCAGTCTGCGTTAAGATTATCCAGAGTTATTTAGTGGTACTTAGAATCTTAACAGTAACATACTTTGTAAGAAATACACAAAAAAGTAAGCTAACCCAAGTATGCGGGAATGACGTGGGAATGGAATGATTATTCTCTTACTCATTCCTATTCCCATGATTGGTATATTTTGTAGAAGGGAATGACCATTCCAATGAGAATCGCAAAACCCATGTATATGGGATTAGCCATCCCATAGTTAATGGATGGTTTTCTCATTCTCATATGTTTAGGAATCAATTTTTCAAAAAAAAAAAATAAAATTAACAAATAATAATAACAAATAAATATATAATATATACTATATTATCGTGATTAAATTATATTAAATAAAATCATTTTAAAAAATAAAATTAAAATAAAAAATTAAAATATTATTTTTATTTATTAGTCGATGGGTGTAACAATACAAAAGTATGTTTATTAAAATATAGTATATTTATAAAATATAAAATAATATTAGTATTATCATAAATAAGAAAATAATATTAATATAAATATAATTTTTTTTACTATAAAATAGTAATAAATGATAATATAGAATGATAATGTCATTTCATTCTGGTCTTATTCCTTCTGCATACCAAATGCATCAAGGACTAAACTTGTTTCATTCCATTCCCATAATTATTTCATTCTTCAACTCATTTCATTCCTATCAAATTCAATTCCATTATACCAATCATGCACAGTGCTTTTAAAGCAGTAAAGAATAAGATACGGAACTTCTTGAAGAGAGAGAGAGAGAGAGAGAGAGAGAGAGAGAGTCGTGTCAAATCATACCATGATATTTGACGTTGAACATAAATTTCCATTATGAGAATTTGGACTCTGGATGTTTTCCTTCTCAGCTTCCTTGTTCATAATTGTGTATTTCCCTTTAAGCAATGTTTCGGGAGTTTCATCTCCCAATATTTTGTGGGCATTGGCTAATGCACCCGCTGATTGTTCTCCCACTTGCTTCATTAGCCCCAATGCATCATAACTACGGTCCCCTGGGGTCAAATAGTAACCAAAGTCCTGCAAAACCACATAATATGAGGATAAGATCACAAGAAAAAAAAAAATGTGATACAACTTTATTAACAGATCATGGGATTTCTCAAAACCTCAATTGTTATGTCTGTATCAACCCTAGGTCCCGGCACAAAGGCATTCATAAACCAAGGAGATCTCCAAGCTGAAGGANAAAAAGGAAATATATGCAAAGTCCACAAAGGCACAAACTAATAAAATTTAAGTGTCTTTAAAAGCATTCATCTTACATTCGATTGTTTTCAGGATTTTTGCCTCCGCCGGAACTTTTAACTTTATTTTCTGAAGGTGAACAAACAACAGAAAAGCACGAATGCTGGGGTGGGGATAAAATAGCTCTGGCACTCACACCAGATGATCCATCACCCTTAATTCCAAAGCGGTCAGGAGAGAAGAATAGCAGATCATTTGTATCACGTTCGATTAAGATCCCAGAAGAATCTTTGGCCTGTCATAACGAAACAGTAGCACATGATTGACCGATTGACGTATTTGCCAAAGTTATATAAAAAAAAAATTTACAGTTGAAGTTGATGTATTCCTGTGAAAACCTCGAGCCAAAAAATGAAATTCAAAATAATCAAAATCTATATTTTCAGACAAATTATAAATTTAATACATATTGACTCATTGTACCAAATGAACTATCAAATTTAGGTTCAAAATTCATCACAATCTTAACTCTCAGCTTTTCCATTCAGTTAGTTTTACCAATTGTCCTTCAACCAACATTGATGGATAAGAGAACAACGAAAAAGACAAAAAGGCTGAAGAAGAAGAAGAACACACCATATCAATTGCATTTTGATCAATCGTTTTGGTTTCAATTTCCGCCTCACCAGCCCAATTTTTCGTCTTTTCGGAACACTCGACAACACTGCATTCTTTCCGTGAGATATTGCTTTCAGAAACATCATAAGCAGGATGAACGTCATCTTTCTCAGCACAACTCGCCTCAACATTCCCTTTCCCATCTGCACATTCATTAAACATAACCTCCAACCTACAAATATCATTCCTCAGTTCCAAAATCGAATCCTTTGAAATCCCCTCAAGCTTCTTCTCACCCCTCTTTTCTGACAGAGGGGACAGCAAATCTCGCTGTCTTTTCTTCAGTATAGAGGGCGTGCCCGAAAAGCTCTTGGCCGCACTTTTCAAAATGGCCACGGGGCTATTATCATCATTTCTTGAAGGCGAATCCCACAATTTGAACATGTTAGTAAGTTGACGGATGCCAAACGGACTGAACTCTTGGTGCATATCACCACCAGATGGTACAAGCTCACAACTGAGGAAAGGAATATCCGAGCTTGGAAAACGAGGTGGCTCGTAGGATAAAACTCCCGAATCCTCCCGATTTTTATCGTTGTGAGATTCAGTCAATGGTGCCAAGACAAAATTGTTGACTGGAATCAATTTTTCAATGGAGCCATCGGGAGTAGTTGGTAAAATAGATTCATAGTCAGCATTTACATGGGGTGGAGAATTATATTGATCTTGAATGGGTAAAGGTGTCCAACAAAATAGACCTTGATTAAGTAATGGGTCTTCCTGTCCATTAAAGTCACTGATAACATCACCAGAGGGGAGTTTATCATTATTTGCTATCAGATTAGAGCCATCTGCACAAACAACATCTAGCAAGGGCAGGCCTGACAGCTCGTCCGTGTCGAGTTCACTCCAATCTAGAGAAAAATTTTGTTCGAGAAAGTTTTCACTGGGCCCACAAGGTTCTTCTGGTGTGATGTAAGCGGCTTCTTGAGATAAATTGGGGACATATGAAGATTGACTGCCTTCCGAAATTTCCTCAGCCTCTGTTTGGGGAGTGTTGTCTTCTCTAATCTTTTGTGGCTCTGAGGAAGAAGATGCCAGAGAGTGATTTGATAGACCTTGGAATTGTGAGAGTAAGCCCGAGGCCAAGTACATATCCAGTTTCTTTTTGACAGAAGAATTCCAATGATTTTTTATTGCATTGTCACTCCTGATTTGGGTAAACATGCACTGTGATATTAGAATGACTGAATTTTTTTTCTTATGTTTTGGATATACAGTTGATTTACTGTTCTCCATAATGAATTGTACTTCAGTACCTGCCAGGCAAGAATTTTGTTAATTCTGCCCACTTGTTTCCATAGATTTGATGGGCACGAATCAATGCCAACTCCTCATCTTGAGTCCAAGCTTCTTTGTTTATGCCGGGATTGAGATGGTTGTGCCACCTGCAAAACAAAATAATCTATGATGCATAAAGCATAATGCGTAGGCACAAAAAAACATTGAAAAATATGCTTGTCATTCGAGGACATTGAATAAGAACTAATAATAAAAATATCCCGTATAGCAGCAATGATGAAGCTTACCTTTCTCGACATTGTTTTCCAATGCGTCCTGGAAGATGTTGTGCAATGGTGGACCACTTTTTTGGTCCATATTTGTTCACTAACTCGATAATTATTTCATCCTCCTAACTTGTGAAAAATGAGTGATAACGTTACATTGTAAATTCAAAATTGATGAATGGGATGTGCAAAAGAAAGAAATACAGGGATCTTTGCCAACCTCTTTTGACCATGGCCCTTTAACAAGTTCTGGATTAAGAACTTTCTGCCACCTGTGTAAGCACTGCACATCTGTCCTATCCTTGATAAGCTCGGCTGCACATATCATTACGTGGAAAAATACAGAAAAGCACAAGAACAGTTAGATTTGGCCTACAGACTGTCAGAATGGATGCTTGACAGAAGAAACTCCAGATGCCAGAAAACTATAATCAAATTCAATGAGATAAATACAATTTAGAATACCCAAAAGGATGTTGTAGGGACAGGTAAAACAAAAACATCATATTTCTACCTATCTTTTTCCAGTTTTTGGCTTTGAAACGCTGAACAGCCATGCGTAATATCTCATCCTGTATGTAAAAAGAAAAATAATTAGGAATATGGCAAATTAGATAGTTAGTCATTCTCCCATATGGATGGTTTCAAATCTACATACAATGGTAAAGGAGAAGTAGAGCTAGAAATCCACTCATGCATTTTAA